TTAATCATTCATGAAGAAGGCTGACCTTCAACATCCTCCAACTTCCAAGCATGTCAATCTATGGGATCGGCTCAGGTCAGGAAAAGAACGAACCAAGTGACCAACGGGCACCCTGGTCTTTAGCCGAAACCACCTGTGGTCCTTGGGCCTCATTGGCCTCACTCGTCACTCGGTCCCAGGTTCAGCCCCCTGTGACATCCACCAGCGCTTCGTTCCATCAAGGCGGGGGGATTCGGCCGTTGAATGGTTTGACTGCGCGCGTGTGCTTTGCTGATCCAACATTGTAAGATGTCCACAGTAGGAACCCAAGCTCCATCAAACTTTTCAAGGCAATGTTCCTTGTTCCGGATCTATTGACCTCCTGCATCCCCTTTATTACTCGTTTCAGGTGTATTCTTTTTGGCAGTTTCTGTCCTACCCCAGACAAGGTTTCCCTCAACGTTTGTAAGGCCGCTGCCGGAAGGGGAAGTGCCTGGGCTGGTCGGAGCCTCAAAAGAAGCAGTGGGTCAGGGTCCCACGCTCTACCAATGCGATTGGACCACCCAGTTGAAATTAGTTGAAGGTTATGCAACTATCGCAAGTGCATAGAGTCCACAGATAGGGCACGATTATAGTCTTAGATGATTTCGAAAGCCAGCCGAAGGCTAGGCTGAAGGTCTGTATAGCAAACGAGGTGAGTATTGCTTGTTGTGTGTGTGTGTGTGTGTGAAACCCTTGGAGTCACAGGGAATCCTTTGATTTTAAATGTTTGCAGGGGAGTGGTGCGCAGTCTTGGAGTCACCACTCAACGAAGACACTCCTTGCACTGCGGTGATATCCGGAGGAGACGCCTTCTGGACGTACCTGCTTGGTTGTGGCGTTTCTAGTTACATCCCAATCTAAACTTCAGGCTGCTTAGGTGGAGGTAATCAGGTTTCACGTGCATTTTGACCCACGTATGGGTTGGTTTCGTGCAACCCACCCCGTGTGGTAAGTCGACATCACAACATTGTCATCGATGTCACAACATTGTCATCCGTGTCACAACATTGTCATCGACGTCGCAACATTGTCATCCATGGGTCGTGTGATTAAAATCGGGCGCGGTGGGGTAAGTCGATGTCACAACATTGTCATCGACATCACAACCCCATGCATGTTCTTGTATATCCATGTTATGCAGATACCATATGAGCTGGAAAGTAAATTCCACTGGGCACTCAACAACTCTCTGACTTCAACCACTTTCATGACTCAGTTCAATTGGTGACTTCGTTTGTGGACGCCACAAATGGACACATTCAGCATCGCTGCCACTTGTTTGAATTGCCTGAAGCCTTCGTCAGCAGCCGAGAAGGATAAACCCTTCCTTGTCTTGCAGACTTGACAGAAAGGATTGAATTGATGGTTGGGCCGTGGATCTCCAGCCGAAAGTCACACGGACCATGTTGTGTGCTACTCCTTCTAACGACAGTCCAGGTCTGTTCACTGTTCTCAAAGCCTGCCGTAGTGTCGCGCCAACAAACTGGGATCTTCTTGGACGCTGTGGACAAAGAATGGCTGTTTAGCTGAAACCATACTGTGGACATGATGTGTCCGTTTACAAGGGGGTTTTGATCGTCGTCGGCGCGCATTTGCGACCAATCGGCGCGCTGTTTGAGGCCCCTTTGCAATAAGACCCTTGACAAAGCAGGACATGGCAGTTGCATCTTTGAGCACTTTAAACGAATTGTGCGAACGAAGTTGGGTATTATCAGGGGGTCTGTGGGGGGTGTTGCGTGGTGGCGAGCCCTAAGCCTGTTGAGGAGAGCTAAGTTGCGGAAGGCCGTGGTGGTGTTTAGCAGACACTGTAGTTCTACGAGGGCTGGCTTTCAGCCCCTCACTTCTCAGGTTGAAAACACCAAAAATGATGGACATGTAAATGTAAACGCTCCTTGAGGCCTTAGCGCCCAAAACTCCTGGGCCAAGGCCATGAGCTTTGCCACGGGGCAGATGGTGGGTTTCGCCGTGAATGACAGCATGTGCTTAGGCTGGGTTGGGAATGTCGGGGAAATATTTTAGCCGAGGAGGCACATCACGCAGGGAACAACCAACAGTAACAGGGAAAGCAACGCAACAACATGCGGGATGGCTCTAAAGTGGGACCATATATTCATTTCCGCAAGGTTCAACAGGATCTTGAAACAGTTGACTGTGGATGAAGGATGTTTGGTGTTTGGAGATCAGAATGATAGGCTTGAGAGATGGGTTGATTGAGGCCCTGCAGCTGAAACCCTTCTCAGACAATTTGAGTGCAGAGGCTGTTTTGCCAAACAGAAAATCCAAAGTTTCTTGCCCCAAACAACATTGATGCATACAGAGCGGTAAGAGCACAAACACAATTTCCGACATTTTTTGAGATCAGGTTCTGCCTGGGGCCGAGGGCCATTTTCAGTGATTTCAATCCCCATGTCAATGTTCAATACGCTCCAGCGCGCACCTGCTTGGAGGTTCCCTTTGCACGGAGCTGACGATCATGGCTGCAGCGCAGGACACAAAAACCATTCACTGGCTAGCAAACATTAAATTCACGCCGAGTGGGTGGTCTCTTGGTTGATAGTAGACCAAGACAATGGAGTTCCCTGCTACGATTTTCATGTTCAACAGAAATTCACTCGCAAAACTCATCTCAGCATTTGAAACGCTGGATCACTGAATGGTTGTTTGAACAATGCCAGCAGACAGTGCCTTGCGGGCCATACATATATACATATATATATACATATATATATATACAGTACCCCTCTCCCCGGGACCTACCCTTTTGTACTTTTCAGCGGTATTTACGGTGAATTACGCACATTTTGACATTGATTTTTGGGTACAAGTTTTTAGATCATTTTTTGGTTGAAGGGATTGTGGGGGTCCCATTTATATATATATATATTGACACAATAAGAAAGGAAACAGTGGTCAATGAAGACCGTGGCAAGGCTCGCCAGGTGCTAAGAGGCCTGGTTCTGTGAAGCAGAACGAGTGGAAGAAGGTACCTTACGTTCAGGATCCGCTCTACGGCATCTCTCATCTCCATGCTCCGTGATGACGGTCTGCTTCGTAGATGGGAAGGGCCTGTGTGTCCTCATTGCGAGCGTGGAACTTTGGGCAAGTTGGCTCCACATCGCGGCGTGCGAAAGCACAGATGCAATGCCAAGAAGTGTCAAAAGTATATCAGCCCGCACCATGCTCATCCACTCTTCGTCGAAAGCACTGGCAACTCTCACACTCCACTGGCAACGCAATCAGCCCTTTTGATGCTCATCCTCAATCGCGCGCCCAATGCTGCCATTCACCATCTGCTTCACATCAACCACAAATCCATTGAAGACTTCGCGAAGCGTCTTGGTCAACTTACTGAAGCGTGGGTGGTGGACACAGAGAAGAGCATTTGCTTTGGCAAAGATCGGCTGGGCAGACATCGAGGCCGACGAAGCTACCTTTGATCGCCAGGTGGTCGGTCAGCAAGTCCAATGGGAACAATGGTGCGGCGTTGTGCAGCGGGGAAAGCCATCCACGTTGGTCTTGCGCCGACTGAAGCCTCCACCTGCAAAGCTGAGGGCACCAGGCCTTGCGTCGTGCGGAAAGGCGAGTGGGAGCCCCTGGCCAAGAAGGTGCTACAAAATCGACAGGTGATTTTGCACACAGACTCGGCTAAGAGCTACAAAACTGCCGTGCCGGGTGTGCTTCACGACCGTGTTGTCCGCAAAAAACAGCGTGTCAAGGCTGGAAATACATTCCGCTGGCTGGCACCAAAATATGTAGAGCTCAAATCTCACAAACTGCCAGGATCGAAAAAGATTCAAGGTCAAATCTGGCACACAGATCATTGACCGATGTTGGCGGTTTCTTAGGGAACGGCTGCATGTAAACCCGAACAGCCGTGTGGGTAGCCGTACGCTGAAAATGCAGCTGCGGAGCGCACAGTATGAGTACTGGCAGCATAGAAACCAGGACCTTTGGATCAGCGCCGGGAAGCTGATCCAATGGTTCCTAAAGTAAACCACTTGCCATCTGCAAGGCGAAAAAAGAATTGTCCGCAACTTTCCTTGCACATCTCCACATTTCATATCAAGCACATCTGATCAAACACATCTGCTCAAACAAATCATCTGACCAAACACATTTCAAATGGTCCACATCTGGTCAAACACATAAAAGGTAGGTCCTGGGGGGGGGCTAGCATGTATATATATATATATGTACCTAGATAAAGAACTTTGGCACGTGAGAAGAGACCCCTTGTCTTGGAGCTTTCAGCTAGACTCGACCACTCTCAAATCTGCCTAAGCCATCTAGTCAGCACTGTTTGATGTCTGCGCGTTGAACCACAAATTTGACGCAAGGAGAGTGACTTTCCGTTCACTTCAATGCCCTTTGATGGGATTCTAGGTGTGGGTTCGACACTGTTTGGCTTCGCTTGAGCAATGGGTTGTTGACAGCCCTTTTTCGTGGATGGAGGCCGTGATGACAAGTCAGGTTGACATTGGGAGGTCCAAGCTGTTTCTTTTTGGCACATGTTTCAAGCTCACACCCACATCATTTGATGTGAATGCTTCACGGGTTGTGGCTTTCTTCACCAGCCTTACACTGGTGCCTGCATGTTGTTTCTGCGAAAGACTTGGCTCAATCAGCATTGAAGAGAAATCAAACTATATAGATGGTATTCAAGGCCCTTGGACTTTCCTCATGACCAGCCTTGCCTGAACCACTTGGGATTCTTTAAGCATGGTTTCATCCCTCTACCAGCCAGTGGCAGCCCGTGCGAATGTGCTTGTACACAATCCACCTGCACAACATCTTGCCACAAGCAACCGTGGAATCTGTAAAGGCAAAGTCCATCAGTGAAACCGTAGCCGGCTCATGTTTGAGTGATGATCAACAATTACTCTGAACACACCACACACACATATATAAATATATATATATATACACACACATACACACATCATGAACTATAAGTGATTTGGCACGGCCCCGGTCTTGGCCAAACTTGAAGACCCCAACTAGCCCAGCTGAACCCAGCTGAACCGGCGTGAAGTTTCGCGGCGCGTTCCACGAGCGACCGCCATGGCGGGCCGCTTTCGGAAGGCGACGACGGTGGCAAAGAGCAAAGAGGAATTCTTGTCGCATGTCAACGCCATCGCTGGCGCAGATGTGGGAGGCTTGGCCAAAGGCGCGAGATGGAGATGAGTAGATGAACAGACACGATTGGCTCATGATAGCGCCAGTGGCACACTGAGATTCTTGTGCTTGTGAAGATGAACGTAACTAGCAGGGAGACCACCCGTGTAACTTGCATTCGGTCCGCTTTAGTCTGGTTCCTTGCGGTTGACGCCCATATCTTTCGTGCCTGGCAATGCACAGGGTCGCAATCAAAGCAAGTATCGTCTCACATATGTAGCACATCAGCTTCCGGCATTCGTGATAGACCTCTGGCCAGGTGTGGACAAGGTTCTGTTGCGTCAACGTGCAGCAGAACTCCAGCAGATTTGCAATGAGATCTCTGCAGTGAGGGAAAGCCAAGGGAAGACGACTCGATCTGTGCATGAGTCAACTGAGATTTGCTTAAGCGGGGTTGGCTACAGCTCTTCAAAGGTAGCTCCTCCACAATGAGATGGGGTAACACCCAACTAGCCTTTAGAAGGGTGCATTCAAGACATTTCAAGACGGGAGACCCCCCAAAAAGCCCCCTGAGGAACGGTGAACATAATGGATTTAGACAAGCGAATTCGAGGGGTCTTCCGGTTTGATAAAGAAACACCCACATAGCCAACCCTGCAAATCGCACGCTTTGAATCTTTTTGCTTCCTTTCTTTGTCCTCTGGAGGTCTCTATTTCTCTCTGTTCTAAGACCGAAGGCTTAGCACACATGTTCAATCATGTTAAGTGGTTCTAAGCTTTAGCAGAACGCTCAGCTGAGGCAGGAGCTATTCTTTGTTGATCTTTGTTGCTTGTTCAGCTGAGGTCTCGGTGGATGGAGCTGGCATCCTATGCGCTCCTCAGCTCTGCAGAGCATGCGATGTTGTAATCCTGTGTTTCACAGCAGACGTGTTTTAGCCAAGCATCTCCCTACAGTAAGCAAGGCAGCAAAATGGGCTTGGCCAGCCAAACGGACAGCGAAACCGCAGCTTCTTGAGGTTCGTGGTGGCGCTGACTTTGCCATACTATGTGCCTCACCATTAGCTTTAATATACCGTTTGGATCCTTTTAGATTGTGGTGGTTCAATGATTTGGGTTCTCTCATCTTGGAAACGTTTGCACATTGACCAGCGCAATTTTGCCAGCAGCGGCCCTTTTACTATTGGCTTTTTATTCCGTGCAGCTTCGATCTTTGTTCTCAAAAGGGGAGAGGTGCATCGGAGTACTGTATTTGTTTCTTGGTACTGTAGCCGCTCTCAAGTAGGTGGAATATGTTTGATACACGAGAGTTTGTTTAAAATCATCAAACCATATTCTTTCTACCTGCGTGATAGTCGATGACCACACCATTTCTTTGGCACATAGGTGCTGTCCCTCAAGGATCTCCGTAGCTGCTGTTGTTGCTAATATTCCCCGTGCGATCTCCATTCCATGGATCGCCCCGCTCGTTAGCCGCTCGTTCCAAAGCTCGGCCTGTGTGGATCGCCTCCGCACAGCCTTCGTCGATTTCGTCGATCCTCAAGGTCTGCCTCACTTATCGCAGCTGGTTCGTGGATGAAGGCTTTGCCATCTATCGAAATCCGGATGCCAAGGGGGAGACGCCCCTTCTGCAGGCCGAAAGACAGAGTTGTGGGGTCTCGGCATTCGTTCAATAGCTTAAAGGGCCAGGTTCTGTTGTGATCATTGCGAAACACTAGTACTGTAGTCACTAGAATCAGCATAGTTAGAGGTAATATCTTGCAAGCACAAGCAGAGAGTCTTGTATTCAGCATCCGGGTCACATGTTTCGATCATACAATTTTGAACGAGTGCTGTTTTGCTGGTAAATCCCATTGAATTTTATAGTGGGCGGCCATTTCCGCATCAGGAATCCTCTCAAGGACCCCCCCAGGAAAAGGACGCGCCTCCGCTTGCAACAGCGCGAATGCAGCTGAGAGGTCCTGCGGAACGATTTCTGGGGAACCTCCTTGAACCCTCCGGAGGGTTGCTTGGCAGAGCGCATTGTGGAGGCTTGTGTTGGATTTGGCCAGAGATGGCCAAAGCCTGCTGATCTTGGAGAAACATAATCTTCCGAGCCAAGACTAGAAGACCGCCATTCAGTGAAGAATTCAGCATTCAAACTGTGACATCTCACTTCAAACACTTCAAACTACCCTTCACCCTGTGAGCATTGTTTCCAAGCTCCAAAAGCATTGGATTCGCTATGGTTTTGCCAAGGCTACATCACACACAAATCTTGGCGCCCGTTGATCACCCTCATGTACGCCGGCGAGTGGCTTCTGTGCGCTCGCTATGGCTTCGAGGGACTGGAAATGCAGCCAATGAGATTTGTGAGCTGTGTAGTGCGGCTGAGCTGCAAGCAAAATGCCTTTGGCATGAAAATTGGAGACTAAGTGCTTGCAATTTTTTTGTAACCCAAGCAAGGGGGGGCTTCATTCTCCTCTTCAAGATTCTTCAAGTACGTATATATATATATATTTCCACAAGAGGTATACTAGTAGGTATACTATAGATATACTCGTACGAACTCGCTGGCAAACTCACTCAACCAGTTCCAACCATATTTGCATGTGCATGGGTGAATGCAATCACTCCAGAGGCATAGCTTGAACTCGGCCTTGCTGCTTTGGGCCATGCGCTTGGCTTCATTGCCGTTGAGCTGTGCCTGTGGCTCGGTTGTTGGACTCCCGACAGTGTCATGTTGGCCAAATGCCCATGCAGTGGCGGAATGGGCCTTGCTTGGGTTTTGGACCATGTGTCGACTGCATATTTCATGTTGGATTCATATGGTTTATTGAGCTTCGACAGCACAGAGTCTGTTGCTGGGGCAGTTCCACCACAACGACACGGAATTTGCTGGTAGATATGTTCCATCCGAGGTCTGGGAGCCTCGCTCTTTGCAGCGCATCCTATCCATGTGGACGCTCGGCTGAAAAGGCCTTAGGGCCTGGTGTGGGTATGCTGGGGGACTGTGGATAGGTTCTGAGACGCTGGGTTACCCCACTTAAATTCAGTAGTGGCTCTGGACGGGTGGTTCTCCGGGGACTTCAGCAATCCTAGAAGCAGCCAGGTCGACATCACAACATTGTCATCGACATCACAACATTGTCACCGATTAGTTGTGTGATTAATACGGGGTGGGTGGGGTGGGGTGGGGTGGGGGTAAGTCGATTTCACAACATTGTCATCGAAACTGCAGCAGTGCCGTCGCTGAAAGGTGTGAGTCACTTGAACTTCCGCTGGACACCCCTGTCGACAATCCCCCAAAAGAATTTGGACAACTCGACCAGAGGCTTGTTGCGTAGATTGGTTGCAGGGAAGATGTGTTTATGTTGGCAGGCGGTGATCAGATAGCAGAGTCGCTTGCAATGTTGGAAAGCGAGAGCTCCGACGGTGCAACCTTTTGTTCAATGATTCCAAAGATACCATCGATCACAGGAACCTCCTTGCAGCTCACTACCTCAACAACAAACCTGGATTGGAACGGGTCTTGAAAGCTCTCGTGATTCTTCGCACAAAGGCATGCGAAGCATGCATGGTGCCAAGCGATGCTTTCAAAAAAGCACTGGGGCAAACTTGAGACCTAGTTTACTGATCAAACCTGTGCTCTGTTATTTCATTATATGTGCACTGTTGGGAATTGATAAGCTGAAAACAGAAGCCGCTTGACTGCTGACGCGGTGTTTTGTGCTGGTAATGGGCTTATGTAGACACTCCAAAAATGATAAGACATGTGCAACAATCTCGAAACTACACCCTGCCTGGGGAGATGAACGCACACTCTTTAAACATATCACATGCTGCTAGACATGAAACTTTTTGGTCAAAAAAAGGCTGACTATCAGACATACGGCCTGTTTCAAACAGTGGTGTGCAATGTTTAAAAAGCACCACATCCACTTTGACTGGTGCCAGCAGTATACTGTAATTGAAGGCTTTTCAACATGAAGTGCGATATGCAAAAACCATGAAACCACACCCTGACGGGGGAGAAAAAACACATTTCAAAATCTTGCTTTTACTGTGTTCAACTTCGACTTCTTCACGCTTCACGCAGATATTTTTTCGAACAAATCAGTTTTTCTTAGCACCTTTTTCAATGCATCAAACGATGCATACATTATCAAACACACAGGCAGGCTCCACGTTTTCGACTCGTCTAAAAATTGTTTGTGTCGTTTCCGCCCGGAGAACCTCCCATCTGGAGCCTCAATCGTTTATAACAGTCTATGTGAAACATGTTGTTGCTTAGATGTTTGCCAAGAAGTGGTGATGCTTTCGGATGGATGTCAGGAGAACATTGTCTATCTCGTCGGGCGCGCTGACGCGTTGTCTACCACGTTTTACTTGTTGGCCTTGATCGCCTATCTATTGGCCTTGAAGAAGCAGCAGATGGGTTTGCGCAGCTATGCCCTGTTCGCAATGCTGAATGTCCTATCGGGCCTGTGCACCGAGACTTCAACAGCAGGGTTCTTGCTGTCTCCAAAATTCTGGTACAGGAAGGGGCACAAGCGCGATGGGTCAGATCGCCGTTAGGCTTGGAACAAACCAAAACACATCCCCAAAACCGAAAGGGAGAAAGATTGTGGGAGTGCCCATGCCATTTTGTTTGTGTGTGTGTGCCAGAATGCATATGTGTGTACTATTGATGGATGTGGCTCAAAGAGTAGGGCCCAGGCCCAGGGACCTCACCTCTATTTCTTTAACATTTTTCCTTTTGCTAATTGGTTTGGACAGTCGCAAAGTGAGTGCTTCAGCGTGTCAATGCGAACTCTTTTAATCCAGCAATTAAGTGCACCTGTAAAAGCTAAACATGATTTGTTTTATCGCCACTTTCTTGCCGGTTGTATTTGTGAATTTGTTAGGGTGTGGGTGTCGAGTTGGACATTTGAAAACCATTCGCTCCAATCGTTCAGGAAGTAGCGCGCCAAGAAGGACTTGGACTGAAAACTGGCCGAGCGAAACATTTCGACTCAGGTAAGGAGCCGGGCTTCACTGCACTCTTTTATTTGGCCTGCGTCGAGAAACTCGTCCAGAGGGCGATCCAGAGAGGGCGTAGTATGGTGTAATGGGACACCGCCTGGGAGAGAAACTGTTGATTTGCACTGGAACAGTTGTTTGACATTCTTTGACCATCTAGAAGTTCGAAACCCATCTCCCTACTAGTTTCATGTGGAATGGGAATACCAGAACGCTAATTTGCCGGTGATGTACGGCCTGTTTGCCTGATTTGCTACACACTGTCTCAGGAACTTCCGAGTCGATCGCAGACATATGACATATGACTTGACATAGGACGGACCGAAGAGAGTTTTAACCACACGTACCCACACAGCAGTTCAGAAACACTCAACACCGGCAAACACCTTTGGCTAGCGTAGGAGGAACAATGGCCAGGAGGGGTGTTCACATAGGCGTCAAACGACCAGGGTCAAACGACCAGGCTTGGCTTCCGCTGTCGCTGGCATCATGTCTCATTGCTTTTGCTGCTCTTCTTGCTGGTTGCAGCCCTGCGGACTTGGTACGTGGGCGGCACGGATGCGGGCTTTGGCTATGTGGACACGCCCATCCGCTACCAGGATGAGCGGACCCATGGAAGTAGCTCACAAGCATGGCTGGTGCGTAGCTTGTCCTATCTCTTTCAACACGCGCCTTGGCTGGAATTGGCCGATGTTGCATTCCAGGGGTGAAGGGATGCGAAGGGCAGCGCGGGCGAAACATGCGTTGAAAGGCTCAAGGATTCGCTTGACTCCGGGACGAAGGTCGGGACGAAGGTCGGGACGAAACTCGCATGACTCCGGGACGCCAATTCGGCACTCCGGGACTCAGGCCTACTATGGCAAGTTGCTGGTTCTCCCATGGAATCAATCCTGGGACTACTCGTTTGAGTCACTTCCGATGCTGACCACTCTGAAGGATGGCCAAGTCCGTGGGGCAGTTGGTTGACAGTTGACTGTTGTAGACTTGGATATTTGAGCAATTTTGCTGAAAAGCAGGAACCACCTCCCAAGTACAGTTTCTGATGCTGCCAGGTTCAGACCGTCTACAAAACTTTCAGAACGTTCCTATATATATATATATATATATCTACTTATGTCTTTCTTTCTTTTAACATAGAACAATTTCCTCCCATCTTGGCCCTGCCTCAGGACCTTCGGCTCTCCCTGATTTTGGCCTTGTACTTGGCGGTGACCGCGACGGGCGCGGTGGCCCTTCGCTTGCGGGGCGCGGCTCCCGCCTTGCTCTTGGGTTTGGGGCTCATCGTGGCGCCGTGGCGGATTCGGTACGAGCGGTGTGGATTTTCCGGTGCGAGCGGGTGGGGAGAAGCAGCTCATTGCGGCCTTCCCTTTAATCACGCAATGGCCCTTCGACATCGCACACAGCTATTGAGCCTGTGGATGGGCTGGAGTCATCTTGGGTTTTAGTTGCTCCAAACATCTCTGAACTATCCCCCAAGCCGCAAAGCCGTTATAACTTAATAACAAAAATCCTGTTACTCGTAGATCCTTTTACAACCAAGACACTGAAAACTAGGAAGTGAGCCACTGGCCTTGCCGCTTTTATTTAAACGCACCAACAGACGCACCAACAACATCCAACAACTCCTGCTGTCCTGTCCCATCAATTTCCAACCTTTGCCATCAGGTGCCTTTCGTGCCCATGTCAAACCTCTTCTTTCTGGTGGGCACCACTATTGGAGAGCGGCTCTTATACCCCCTCACAGCAGGCTGGGCTTTGCTCGTGGCTGGCTGGGCCGCTCGCGCCCGCGTGGTGAGATGGGCCGCTGCAGGGCTTTTGGCCACTCGAAGTTCGCGGGAGGAAAGTACAGAGTGTGACTTTGTTGAACTTCTTTCATTCGATGAAGTCTTTTGTTTTGCATTTAGGAAGGGGGACAGCTATTGGATTATTGGATACCAGGACATACCATGGCTTTGACCCGCATGTAGTCAAATTCAGTCTTTTGAGCTGCCAATTCAAGCAAAAGCCACCACACAATTCTCTGTCGGGCCATGTGGTTTGGTTTGTGCACCCTTTTCTTTGTGTAACATTTACTCCCAGCCAGATCAGTATTTCTTTGCTGGAACACCAGCAATGAATTCCTTGTTGGTGGCGCAAGGGATTCGGGATTACCCCAAGGGTCACTTGATGCTTGAACATCCATCCGGTTCATGTGTGGTCACGAGACCGTCTGTGTGCAGTCCATGCAGCATGCCTCGACATCTTGTGAATCGCAAAACAAAAGGCAACCGATCAGCATAAGATTGGGGCATCCAGACATTTTCCAAGGCGATTTACATCATTAACTCCAACATTCGCATGTCCCACTGGCGATCGCCAGCCATCCTCTTCATGAAGGAGCGGGCACCCTCGCATGGGTGTTACTGGAATCCGGCAACCCATGAAAGAGCGCAAGACATGGGTCAACCATAATCTTTAACCATAAGACATGGGCCAACCATAATCAACCATACCATATATCATATACCATAATCCTCTCCATAATCCTCATGTCTTGAGTCCATCTCGCATGGACATGGCTCAACAGAATAGTAACGTGACCCGCAGGTTCGGGTTGATTCTTCCTTTGCCGGGGTGGTTTGGGTACTTTAGTTTTGAGCCACAACCTCACGTACTGCCAGGCGATTTTGCCAAACATTGATATACAGTTACATTATTGCATCCAATGCGAGAACCACGAGCCAAGAAAGGATCCAACTCTTCATAGTCTTGAAAGAATATCAAAGTTGGGCTTTGTGGGGTGAAACAGATTTGAGATGATTTGGGGCATTTGGCATTTGGGGCACCCAGTATCGGTCGCAGGATGCTGAACACTGGCACAAGAGCGTCAAGGCATCTTTGTTGCAGGTTACGACTCAAATTGCAGTGCTTCTTTGTGAGTAGTATATATCTGGACGGACGCGGTCTCTGGACTTGCCAAACAACTGGTCAGGTGTTTGGTTTGGATGTGAGTTGCAACCATTCACCGACCCACCGACAGCAGCTCCGAGGTCTTGCACGCGAAGGCGTCAGAATTGCAGGCGAAGGGACAACTGCCTGAAGCTTTGGAGTACTACCAGAGGCACGAAGGGCTGGATCGTTTCCTTAGAGCCTGTCTCACAGCTTGCTTAGAACTTAGAACTAAGAACTTCGGAATCCGAATTTCCCAGGCTGCAGGTCTCAGGCACTGGAAGATTCGATTGTTTTTTGCAGTTGCACATGTTTAAGACAACCGCCTGGAATTTTCGGGCTGGAGTGCTCCCCACGTTTGTGCGGTCACTTCCCAGCCATGCAACTGGTCATCCACATGACAGTCTTGCCATCCGCAATCCAGTTTATCCCATATAATTACTGAGGTGGTAAAGCACATTGAGCCGAATAAAGTAAGCCGATTGGTGCTGTTGATCCAGTAGATCAGAGGATGTTGCAATGCAACTATAGATCATTGTAGAAGTGTTGTGTCCCTTTCAATTGATCTGTGAAGTCTTGTCAAGGTCACTGGACATCTTTGATGATCAAGCGATCACAGACTACTGCATCGCCCGGATTCTCATCAATCTGGGCCGGTTGCAGGACGATTCATCATGATTCGTTCGTGAGGGCTTCTCCCAACCCAGTGAGAACTATAATCAGCTGATGCCCCACGACGGACCCAGGAGGCCTATGATCGCTTCGACAAGATCCTGAACGGGCATGGCATTGGTCTCCATGATGGCAACGACTTCTTGTGGATGACGGACCTAGGCAAGGAGGATTGACTCGTGGATACTCAGACGGTAAATCTGCGACATGTCGTGACTGGGAGATGCTGGTGTCTTCTGTTGCATCAAAGCTTACAGCTCGCAGTTTGGCAGCTTGAGCTAGAAGCAAGCCTTTATATGCTATTAATATAAGGCGGGCAGAACAAATCCGAAATTCCGATGTGCAGGGAACCAGCTATCCAGATCTAACCAGCCAAGCCCTGTCCAGGCTATTTGCTGGTGCGATTGGGATCCGATGCGCAAGGCGCTCACTACTTGCAAGAGGGTCTAAGGCAGGACCCGTAAGTTCCCTGTTGGGCTATTCTGCTTCCTCACAAAGAGCACAGTGGCGGTGCACCTGTTCGCCATGTGTGAGTGGAAGTTCATTTTAACGATTCAATCGACATCAATCAACAGCCTATTATGTCTACTGTACTCTAACAGCAGGTTCTTGGACTTAGGGCCGAAAAGGGTCGAATGTCCAAAAGGGGTAGATAGAATGTCCAAGAATGCTTCAACACTCAACAGCCCTCAAGCATGTCCTGGAGGCGTATGCCCTACAGCAGCTATGGCTGGAATGCCCTGGGCGTTGCACAAGCACGGCAGGGCCAGCTGCAAGAGGCTCTGGACTCCCTGAACCAAGGCACGGTACATGGCGTGCGCGCGCCTGATAGGGGACGGGGGAAGATTTGGTGAGCTCAGGTGATTATTTGTGTGGTGGTTTTGAATCGTTTTGTTTGTTCATCGTATTTGGGGTGATAATCCCAATTGACCAACTGTTATTGCAGGGGATAGTTTAAGCCACCAACCAGCTGCTCAGGTTGGTCAGGTTCGAGGATGACGAAAATGGGCGATGTGTGGTATTGGGAATGAAAAGGAAGAAGATGGGTGATCGAGCGCAATCCAATAGTTCGTGATCAACTGCGCTGCAGTGGCTGTGCCATAGGCACGCAAGCTTGTGAGATGGTGTTGGAACCGATCCCCTGTTGCCTCTGTCTTTCTGCCTGCTGTGGTCTTGCTAAGGCCTTCAGATTGAGGGCGAAAATCCTTTGCTCTGGAGCAATATGGCGACAATCTACGCTTATGGTCAGGTGCACCTCTAATTAAACTGAAAAAAAGATTCAAGACGGTGCAGCAGTGCCAGAAGCGAAACTTCTAGCTACTTTTCTACCAGATCCACTCCTGTCCCAAAACCAGAACTCTCAGTTTGCGTTTATGGGCTTAGAAAGCAGTTGATGCCTAGGGAGATGAACAGTGGCATTGGTTCACATTGAGGGATGTGGCATTGAGAAGGGGGGCCCTGGCAGGCTCCTGAGCAAGCGCTTCAAGCTTTGAACCTTGGCTACACTTGACTCCTGTGATATGGACCGACAGCATTTTTTTGGGGGGCAAGGCCTACTTTTCGCGAAGGCCAGCCGATCACGAAAGCCAGCCGATAGGCTAGGCTGAAGTTATTTTTGCGAACAAAGTGAGATGTCGAAAAGTGCATATTAGCCTGCTGGTGTTTTTATTTTGCCAAGAATATGATTTTTGGTGGGTTGGTGATGCAGACGATGCAAGGTGAGTGGTTAGTGCATCATTTGCATCAGCAACCTGCTTATGTGTATTGAATGTTTGAGTGACATTCTAGTCAGACTTACTTATTAATTGTTTTAACACAATTTCGTACACACATGCAGGTAGAGAGTTAGAGAGTTGTTCCTTTCGTTTCCCCAGGTATATACAGATTCACGCTGATCACACCGATCACTGTTGGACTTGCTTGTTTTCATGGTGTTGCCCAAGCTTGGCAAAATCAGTCCAAGCTGTGTTGCACCATTCGCACGAAGGAATCAGGCGCTGCGCTTGAATGCCGCTCATCCTGCTGTGGCTCGCAATGCACAGGCCTTGTCCGGCGCTGGACAGGAGCGGAGCATCCAGAGTGAGCAAGGGCTCGCGACAACTATATAGTTTGATCCGCAAATTGATGGCGGACAGGGTGGATGCATGTGGATGCAATTACAGCAGTTCGCCGACAGCAAAATGTTTGCCATGACGCCACAATGGGATCTTATTTCACAAGAGAGGGTCGTTGATGAACGCAGATTCCCTGTTCTGAGCCGTGTTTTGCTGCGCCAGGAGCCTGTCCTTGAACTCTACATTCCCTACCCCGGTCGAGGGGGTCGTTAAGGCTCGAGCCTTCTTTCTTTGGATGGACGCCATGAGCAGAGAGTCAGCAGAGATTGGCTGTAGACCATGTAGACGACTGAAGTCCACATACGACTCAATGTCCGCTGTTTGCGTCTTTCAAAAAACCATTCCTCTACTGTGCAATCTTGTGTAAGAACCGAGTGCCGACGTCGCTTCCATTGCTTGCGTATTTTTTGGGATGACAGAGGCTGATGAGCTGCTGCCAAGCGGGAGAAAAGCCATGCTCTTTTGGGGTTTGGGAGATGATTGGGACATCAATCAGGCGCAGTGAGGAGGTTAAGTTTGGAGGTCAAGTTGACGCAACCACACGCAACCATTCGAGCGAAGCAGCGAAACATGCAATGTGTTTCTGGGAGGAAAGGAGTTGGAACCCCACAAATCAAGACATCTTGCGATCTTGACCACTGGATGACACTGGATGCCCCTCATAGACCTTAGCTGCATTTAGCTGCCACGCTTGGACATTTTTTCGAAACGCTTCGGTGTTTGATCCTTCATGGCTATGTCGGCGCCGGTGCCGCCGGCTATGCCATTGTTTCGATCGAGTTGGACACGCGTGTTTCGTGTCAGGTTTGGGTCCAAGCAACGATGGCCAAGAGCCCAGCCAGTACGTCGATCGACCCTTGTTCAAGAAAATGGTTCGATGGAAGCTTGAAGGATGTCAGGATCGATTTGAAGGTTCTGCCCAGGTTCTGCTCATTTGTCGAATGCAAGCAGTTCGCATTCTTAACATTTTGGCACTTTGAAACAAAACTGCCTCATTGTTTCTGGAGAAAGCTGTGGAGGCCCAGTGCGTGCACTGCAGCGTGCAGGCGTAGGCACGCAGTGCACGCAGACTGAGTGCGAGAATTCTTTGCTCGCGACTGATATAGTATCATATACCCTAGACATCCCTAGACCTAGAAGTCCAACGACTATATTTTGACCGGCTGGAGTAAAGTGGATGTTCCCTTTCAGTTCCCTTAAAGACCATTCTTTTTATAGTCTTTAACGCCCAGGGTATAGTTATATGATATACAATATGTATGATTTTGGACAGGTATACATCTTTAGTGAATGATCTCTACAAACAGAGTCCAAGGCTCCCTATGGAATTCTAAAGGGGATGGGCACACCCTGATTCTTTTTCTGCCTAAGAGGATTCCTCTGGGTCGTGGTTCGACCCGGTTGTCTCGTGACTTTGAGGTGGGTATGACATGTTTCATAGGGAGCCCCCAAAGACTCCTGGTGAAGAAGACACATGCATTAAGACTAACCCGGTTGAAGACAACATGCGGGGCGGCCACTGAGCTTGAAGTACTCCAGTACTCGCGGGGCGGCCAGAGATGTGGGTGCGGTTTTTCCAACACCGGGCGGATGCCCATGAGGATTCCCGTGCAGCAGATTAGTGGCGCGGCGTTTTGCAATCCATTTTTATATTGGTTTCTATTTTGGTCCTTTTTGTCAAACATGGAGGTATGGATTTGGTATTGAACCGACTATTGTAAAGTATACATTTGGTCATGGCATGGTCAAAGGACAGAAAATGAGTGCCCGTCAGGCGGGCAGGAGACCATCATCGAGGTAGAGCCAGATGAGACCATCAAGTCATTGAAGCAGCAGCTGGCAGCGTTGCAGTCTTCTTCTCTGGACGAACTCACGGGCCGGATGACCAAGGTGGACCTGGTGGTCAATGGCACAAAGTTGAAGAACATGGATGATGAAACACTAACTGCGGCAGGAATCTCGGACGAAGCAGAAGTGCAAGTCCTTTTCGCGATAGATTCTGTTGAGTGCTCTTGCAAAGAATGCTCTGGTCGGGATGCCCAGGACCTGCTAGCCGTAAGCATCCCAGCGACTGCCGCAGTGATTCAGTTCGATGCCTTCAGGGGCTGTAGCTCATTGATCTCTGTGACAATTCCCAGCTCTGTGACAAATATCGGGGCTGGTGCCTTTCAATCCTGCAGCTCCTTGACAAGCCTGACTATCCCTGACTCAGTGACTTACATTGGAGCCAGTGCCTTCCAAGACTGTACCTCATTAACCAGCATAAGAATTCCGGAGTCTGTAAATCTGGTGGATGCTGGTGCCTTCAAAGGATGCAGCTCCTTGACAAGTGTGACCCTGAGTGCTGGAACGGGACTTGGCTGGAGCGCCTTCGCAGACTGCCCTCTTTTGACCGTTCACTCCGGGGATGAGACTTTTCGACCGGCCGAACTTCAGAGACTTGAGCCCCAGCTCGCAGAGATTCGAGGCGACGCCGTGGAACCACCAGGTCTCAATCCCATCGGACATCATTGAGACCTGGTGGAGAGTGGGCTGAGAGTAGAGCTGGGACCCGAAATCATCCGAACTCCCGCGCGGGCTGATGTGGCCACGGTGGCCCATGGGCTATGTTGTGACGTGGCTCATCTCCTGTAGCTTTGTATCTTGTGCTTCCAGCAGTTGATCCGCTGCAAAAAGACCATTGGGAACGATTGCACGAAAGACACTAGGACCTAAAGTTCATCCTGAAGAAGGTTCAAACAAAGTGCCTGTTTACCTGTTGGAGCAAGAGGAGATAATAGGAGTAAACAATCACCCAACATCACCATACTAGGAAACAACATGAAACAACGAACAAAAATCACCCGCCAGATCCTTCCGCTGTACTGTGCTTGAAGCACCAGTAAGCAGCCACCCAGTGTTCGTGGATGTTTGTCCCTTCTGTGACCGAAGGAGAGGGCAACTTTTGTGCTTAGCGCACCTCAAATTCCAAACTTCAGGGAGTGCCGATACTGTAATATGTACTGGTCGGTGCCAAAGAACACAACAGGACATAACAACCCATAGAGGATCATACAACCCCCTCCCGGGTCCTCTTTGTAACCAAAGTTCAATTCCCTCCAGGCGCCTTGGCCTTTTGGCTGCGGGAGCCCACTTGTAGTGTCGCTGGACAGGCGAGAAGACGGTCGTGCCGCTGGGGTGGCGCTGGCGCCGGGGTCGCGACCGGATGTGAAGAACGCGCACACACATGTTCCAAGCAAGGGCACGAACAAGAACAGGCTCGTCCCTTGTAGATGAGCAGTAAAATGGCTGGCAGGTGAACATGCACCAACAAACTATTCTCTTGGCTATGGCTCATATAGGTAGCATCACTCACTGTCCCTTTTCTTTTGGAGTTCTTGAGGGCCTGATGTTTTGATGGCATCGCTACAAGCAGCAAGGACGCTACTAGGACCAATGATGCTGCTAGGGGCTCCTGGCCTTGCTACTAGGAACAAGAATGCAACAATCAGTGCTCCACCTCAGCCTTTGGCGTAGGTGGCCTTCGGTGCGTCTGTTCAAGATCTACCCGCTTGGGCGACGACCGGGTGCGGCGGGTCCAAGGGAGCGAGTCTCGAAAAGATGGAGAACCGGCGAAAATAGCAGGTGTTGTAGCAAGAATTAGCAACTAATATGTAACTCATATGTAACTAATATCAAGTCTTCAGAACCAGAGGGAGCTGGGAGATGGGATGCCCAGTGACTCGGTGACACTCTTTCGACCGCTGGAAGCTGCACACGTTCTGGTGGGATGTTCAGTTGAGTCCTCAATCCTTTTAGGGTCAACAAAAAGAAGCAGAGTGCTGTGTAACGCAGGAACCGGATGTCCTCATCAAGTTTCCTATGTTTGCGGGTATATACCACAATTCCTTGATCAGTAATCAGTAAGCCTTCCTACCTTCAGATGCTATCTTAAGACAAGTTTACCCATGAACTTTCACCGCCATTTGGGCTTTATTTTCTTGGAGACTCACTTCGTTCCACTTGAACTCAAAGAGGTTGGAACCGACTTGGTCTCCCGCATCCACTTTCATTTTTCAGGCTTTCCTGGGCACCTTTGATGCCGTCTGCAGAGGAGATCGGTGAAGGTAGACGAACCTGCGTTGTCCAAAACAGAGGGACCGCCGCTACTTCTGAGGTTTCAGATCACAGCGGAACACGCATCGTCCCAGTGAAGACGAACACCTTTTCCTGGTGCTTTGAAGACACCTTGTGGGAGAAAGGGCTGTTTCACAAGTCTGAAAGTACTTCCATAGACCAAGAGCGTTTGTTTGAGATCTGTAGACTGTGTAGACCAAGCATTTTTAAGTAGAGACAAACAGACTTAGACTTTTAGGATTGCTGAGTATGATTACCGTGAGGCTTGGTTTCCTCAACTCAGGAGGAAGGCTACTGGCTCCTGGAAATCCTCTCGGTGTTGGGATGCCCAATAGTCGTATTGCCTTCACATTCCAAGATTTGCTCTTCATTCCCTGTAGACATGTCATTATGAAACACATATGAGCAACGGCATTTTTTTTGCGGTAGTGAAGATTAGTCTAGGGGCGTTCCTTTTCTATAGCCCAATGTCAGATTTAGTTGGCGAAACGAGGTAGGAACACCCCGAGAACGAGATGGGCATCAAATGCGCCATTTGTTTGAAATGGTTTGGTTAATGACATGCTTAGCTTGTGAAACGAGGTAGGAACGCCTCTCGAGAACGAGATGGGTATCCACACGCCAAAACGAGATATAGGAAAGGAGAACGAGATCACACACCAAAAACGATGCGGGATTGGAGAACGAGGTAAGGAAGGTCCATGTGATAGTTTAACGGAAATAAATTCCATCGCTCATATAGTATAGTACGATATATACATGTACACATATTTAGACATACCTAATACATCAAATCGTCCTTCATGTCGGATGCGCTTGCATACGAGATTTGGCTGATCGGTTGGATTGCAGCTCGGGCTGAGCCTCCGGCGCGGCGGTTTTAGACGCCCCGGATCTTGCATTAGCAGAAATCAGATTGACAAGCAGGCAGGACCTGAAGGACATGAAGAAATATAGAACTATATGATCATTATATATATTACAGTATATGAGGATATGAAATGATATTGAAGAGGTTCTTGAACAAATCTAAGAAGCAGAAGAGGTTGTTGTTTGACGTTTCAGATTCACAATTTTTCAGGTTACCTTGGTATTTTCGATTCTCACGGACCGTTCTCTTCCCCTCATTGTGACCATTGGACGGCTGTTTCCACCTTGCCGCCATGTCGATGATCTTCACCTGCAGCCTCTTAGGGGAAGACCTGGTCCGCAGAGATTTGCTTCAGAATCTTTTTCTTTTTCAAAGGATGGCCTGCATTGTCAAAGGCCATGTGCAAGGTTACACTGTTTAAGTTTAACTATGTTTGATTGATCTCTGCTTTATCCCCAAACATGTGTAAATCGGGACCACCCTCTTCTTACTTTGCTGGAGCTGTAGGACATGTGTAGAACGAAATCAACTTCGGTGGATCAAGCGAACACACCCCAACAAAACAAACCAGTCTGCTGCGGAGTGAGGGGAAGGCTCACTTGCCATATTTTGGAGTGTTTAGCTTAGACCCAGAGGCAAATGGGGGGGAGCTTAACTCATTTCAATCCGCAATTTCGGCTTGAATGCACAGCAAACTAGCTGGTACGTTGGTACTGACCCGAAACCAGAAACTGTCTCCATTCAATGCAGCATGCAAGTTAGTAGGATCATCCATTTTGGAGACAATCATGAATCGGTTTCACCAGTGTATTTGGACTGCCCCTAAGGCACGGGTATCCTTGAAGCACAAATCTGAATGTACTGTTCGGCGATCCTTCGTGACCCTTCCACTTGAGTGCACATTGAAATCACGTCTCGTTAGGAACGGAACGATCTAGGTGGAGATAACAACCCTCAGCCCTTCAGGCCCTTCAGGCTGTTCAGGCCCTCTGAGCAAGCCATTTCATGGATGCTACTGTACAATCGTATACATATGTATACACTATGCACCTGAGTCCTGAGGTCCTGGCCTGTGGCAACACCAGCAATGTGGCGGAGCACCTCGAATTCGCGGTGCCGGAGGTGCCGGGAGCGGTTGGTTTGATTCCGTCAAAGCCGAAAGACGTGTTCCGAATCTGAGCAGGGCATGACTCAGCGACTTCAACATTTGACGAAGGGCGCCTGACCAATCATCTTGCTACATATTGTAGAGCCCTGCCAAACAATATTTATATATACAATAAACATATAGCACCGCACCACCGATGTCTTCCTGTCAGGATCGGTTCTTGTGGCCAAGATTCATGCTGGGATCTCTCTTGGCCAAGCAAACATGGAATTCAAGTCAATAGATAGTTAGGGTGGTACTGTGAGTCGCTACCTCTTCCTTGAGGGCTGTTCGCGTGTAGGTGGATGCCTCAATATGAAGAAGGCTGTATTGTTCATGGGAAAAGCATATGCGTCTGTATCAAAGTTGTGCCTTCCAGAGCATCTATTTTCTTCAATGGGTCAATACTCAATATAGGTTGAACACAGGACGCAAGAAGCCTGCACCCCTGTGACCTGAGTGGCAGTGTGCCTGAGATGTCAACACAGCTCACCAAGCTAGCATATTCAAATTTTTGTAGGCGACCAGGATCAACATTGGGGAAAGTTGAGCCTCCTGCGAACTCATGCATGCTCAACGTGAAAGCGCCTGATCAGGAGCATGGAGCCTGCCCATCTTCGAAGTGGCCCGCACGCCAGGAGAATCGTTTTGCACTTAAGCCTGTCCCTGTGTCCTGCCTTCGCATGGATCCAACGATTCAGAAAAAAGGTTTTTGCTGGACATTTTGGTGGAACATCCGTCCGTTTGAAATCCAAACAGTAACAAGAAAGATTTCTAGTAACTAGAAGCTACTTGGTGGAGGCCATCGCTATTAGGGTGGAGACCATCGCTACTAGCAACAAGAAAGCTTTCTGGTAACTAGAAGCTACTATGTTGCTTTGTTTCTCCTAGCTTCAGGACACACAATGGTTCTCTTGTGACGAGTGGGACAAGAGCCACATCGAGCCTTCAGATGCCAAGACGGAGGAACCTTCAGAGGCTGGGGATGTCGATGCTGTCCTGGAAAGCAGAGAAGCCACGTGTTTGACTCAGGATCTCAAGCAACCAAAAGGGGGCTGGCCAGCTGGGTCATGCAGAATCGGAACTGGTAAGGGTTCCAGTCGCATATACTACTGTGGTCTATCCTATACCATCATATACCATCCATACCCGGATTCTTTTCGGGGCCTCAAGGAAGACAACCTTTCGATCGAAAGAGCTCTCGACTGATGTCCAGGCTGGTTCTGATTCGACCAATGTGGAGGCACGAGCTGATGTTGTCTCTTTTGGTGCGGTGGGCACTTTCAGATGTGAGACTGTAGATAGCCGGGCAAAGGTGCTACGTGCTATAGATATAACTTGCAAAATACTTTTTGAGATGGTCCAGCAATCATCTCCAATGAGCCAATTCAGATTCTTTGACATGCTTGTGTGTGATGGTGCATTGAGTATGTGTGTGGCCAGATGTGCCAACTCCTAGATTCACAGAACAGTGAGCATGCAGCCTCAATGGAACCAAGAATTGGGTTCCTACTATTTGATTTGCCTCACGAACATAAACACATGCTTCAATCGTTTGAGAAGGAGTCTGATTGGATCACGACTTGACTGTTCAGATCTCTCGAAACGACTGTTCAGTCGCCATGGCGAAACGTCAGAGCTGGCTCAGGTGGACACCGACAAAGAGACCTTCACATTGAGAGTCGTTTGGACGCCTAGGATGGCCTAAGGTCGAAGGCTTAAAGAGAGGGAGAGATACTTTTTGGGGTGTTACTAGAATATCTAGAGTTCATTTTTGTTGCATGTTTTACAGAGTTGCTCCCAGCCGATCAACCTAGAAAACCCTCATGAAGATGTCTTCTTTGTTCATTTGTTGATTTCATACCCCGCTCCCTTGGGGTTAGGGGATCGTACGTCAAAGATTCTGATAGTCACTGAGGTCCCAAGAACTGTAGACGGACGTGTGCAAGATTTGCGACGACGGCTACAAGGATTGACGGGAGCAGAGTGATGATAAGAATTCCACAGTGGCAGTATGGTATAGATGATTCCAGGTTTTCAAAAGATATCATACTACCATTCTGGCATTCGGCCTTGATTTCTGCCAACTTTGAGGATACTCTTCCATCTGCACGTAGCTACAGAGTTATTTCTTCTTGTCAGTGTCGAGAACCTTCATGAGAATTTGATAGAATTGTAATTGCATGGACTGCTGACTGCTGTGTCATTTCCAAGTTAAATGTTAAACGTCCCCCTTCTCTGACCCTGTCTGCAGATGTGGGCGTAGACGATCCAGATTCAGAGGCAGCAGGCACGACCGGCACCGCTCGGATGTCACTTCGACCAGTGAGAACTGACGTCCGGAGACGGGAGAAGACCAGAGAAGTGGTACCGTGGGGACGCTTTCGTTCTCTGATGTCATTCCAGGTGTGTGCTTGTTGGTTATCCGAAGAGAGACGTCGATCTCACGGGAAGCCGTCAATTCCTTGCCTTACTTGGAGATTCATCGTACAACCCCTGTAAAGCCATTCCGAATCCGGGGGGGTTTGGGGAATCAACCGTTGAGACCTTTGAGATTCTGAGTCAGACATTTCACCTCCCCAGCCCCATGAAGCGACTTCTGAAGGTAGCATCAACAAGCTGGGTATGGGGGCCCCAGCTGGATGGAGTTTGCGCAAGAAAAATGCCTCTGGAGACGAAACCTGCAAGAGACATGATGGCTGCCACTTGCAGTGGACTTCACTCACGCCCAATGGGTGTACTTTGGCTGCTTAGTTACTTACATCAACAGCAGGGCTTGCTTCCCCGCAAGGCCAAGGGCCTTGGTTGTGCAGCGAGTAGACTTACCACTGAGGTCCAGAAGATGAACCTCAATTCCAAGTGTTTTTTCATCTTCCAACCATTCCAAGAGTATACAGTATATCGTATAGAGTACCCGCCGGAATTTCCGGATCCTGGTGGCGGTTTACTCCGGGAGCATCTCTCAGGTGGTTATCCCACATGCTACTGGCGGTTCTTGAGGCTGGACGGTTCTCGTATGTCTGCGAGATGTGACATGTCTCCTTGTGGTAGCTCTTGTCAACAGCACCTGGTCAGCATGACTTGAGAGTGATCCAAAGATATCCAATGCAGATCATACGAAAATCCTTGCCGAAACGTACTCGTCATTCATTGGTCTATGTTTCGCAACTTCTGTGCGTCCCATTTGCCTCAAGGTCCTGCAATATGGACCTGAAGGCGGCTGAGCAGAAGCTGAGAGCCACCTTGCGCTTCCGCCAACGGCAAGGCCGGGCGCCAACGGCAGCCCCCGGACGAGGTTTTGTCAAGTGGTTCAGCCATCCGACGTGCGTTGTTTGCGAGAGCAGGGTTGCTTCGAGTCGGCTGAGGCATGATACAGCTCATGGATCAACAGTCAGAAGGACATACACGCAAGGTCAGCTTTCGTGTTCACAAGGGCTGCGGTCAACACCAAATCACCAGTGGCCCTACGTAGACTTTGCAATGATAGTGTGCAATTCAGCTGGCAATTGGGTCATAATGTACCATATCATGGTTCACGATTCACAACCTTGTGATGTATCTTGTTGCCATATCCTTGCTGCAATGGCTGCATTATAGATGGCTCTCCTTGCCAGGGCGCCATGGCATTCTGCGTTGAGGATGATGTCCAGGTCGTACATGTGAAGTCTACTGCAAGACGAAAGGCCTCACTACGAGAGCCGTCTGCGCCTCTGAGAAAGTCCCCGCGGCACTGCACGACCATCGACCTGGACAGAGCTGAGTGCATCGATCTCTCAAAAAAGGGCTCGTGGCAAGGTGAAGAAGCCAAGCGTTTCAATGATCTCGCGAAAGAGAAAAGCTGTTGCCCAGGTTCAGCCCATAAAAGTGGATTTGGAGGATGAGGATCAGGTGATTGAGACCTGTACCTCTTACGAAGAGGCTTTTCTTGGCTACAAGCCCAAGGGCTCCACATTTCCCACTCTTTCCCCTCCAGTCATGGTGCCGAGCTGCCTCCTACCGCTTGTTCCCAGCCAGGCTTCGCAAATGACTCCAGCTCCTGTTCAGCCCGTGGATAGAACTGCAAGGCCAAAGCGACCCCGACTGGAAGTGATCCATCAGGCTTCCAGTGAGAGCCCTCAGATGCCCAGGATGGAAGCGGCTGAAGTCGGAATCTTTTCACAAGATCAGACGATCTCAGAGGCGCCCAGTGAGTCAGAGAGTTTTGCAGATTTGCCAAAGGAATTCTTGCTGCCGGACGCTCCAGCTGAAGCGAAGGCTCCAGTGGTGCCTGAGCCAGTGCAGCCGCCACCAGCCACACCAGCAACCTTTGATGAAGAGGCGGAGGAGAGCTTGCCAGCTGTACCGTACTCGCAGGCATACGTCGAGCGGCTGCGCAACAACGCGGAGGAAGACTGCTGCTGCATTTGTCGGAAAGTGTTCATCGCTGACCAGGTGCGCTTGGGCTACACTCCTCACAATGGAAATGAAGCGCGATGGCTCCATCTCCGATGCCTCGCAGACGATGGGCTTCAAATGGAACCGGGAGATTGGCTTGCTTTCTCCCCAGGCATCGGTGTCGAAGAGCGCCAGCGAGTCTTAACGATCCTGAGCATACGGAGACCCATGCGACCCATGGACTCCCATACAGGGCCCCTTTCTTGGAGTCCACGGCTTTGGTGCCATTGCCCGGCCATCTCTCAGCGGTGGCCGCGCTGCAGAGTGCCACGTGCTGGGGCCACGCGTGCAGCCCCACGACTCAACCTGCGGTATGTGGCACCAGTGTTGAGCACTGTCTCCCAACAAGCACGAGCCGTCCTCCTTCGAGAACGCCATCGTCGCTTACAGGCCGCTGGTCGCCAGGTCGTACCACCAGTGCCTCTGGCACGGAGACCAGCAAGTGGTCCAAGTGCCGTGGCGCGTCGGGCTCAAGTCACCGCCAGCTCTAGAAGGCCAAACACACAGGTGGAACCTGTGGCTGAGACCGAGACCCGTTCCGGGCGACGGCAATGGCAACGTCGATCGGCCCTGGGTGAACGCGCCAAGGAACTCTTTGCCGTTGCTCCTGTGGTTTGCTTGGAGAAAGACAGGAGTGAAGAAGAGCCATGTGTTATTTGTCACGAATCCTTGTTGGCAGGAGATGAAGTTCGAAGACTGCCTTGTTGCCACACTTTCCACCGCTCTTGCATAGACCGGTGGTTGCGCTTGAAGGCTGTGTGTCCCCTGGATAAATTGACAGTAGATCAAATGTTGTCTCAACCATGCAGTGAGCGGCGCCCTGCTGAAGGTGCAAGCTCCAGACATAGCTAGTGTCATGGCGCCCGTGTACAGCTCTGGAGCACTGAGTGTCGTCCTCAAAAAAAAGGGCTGCAGCCGAGTGCCATCTTGAGAAAAGCACATCTTCGACAGTCTTCGACACCCAAGCTGAGCCTATCTGAGCCTTTTGCTGTTCGCCTCGCCATTTACACACTGCACGTGCTCTATTTTGCTCATCCAGCGTTTGTTCCAGGGATTCTTTGTTGAAGCCTTACCGTGCTTGCAAAGGTTCATGCGTTTGACACCTTCATTTCACGGCAGTCTTGCTTGAAGGCGCCAATGATTTGCTTCAATCAGAGCGAGCTTGCCAGGCCAGCGGACTCCACCTGGGTGAGCTGGGTTTGTAGTATATAAATATAGAGTTGGTTTATGTTTGTTTTTCATGTCTTGTCGATGGTCTTTTCTGTCTTTCTGCTTTTGCCCTGTTTTGCCCTGATTTGCAATTCAGCTTCATCAGTGTATATTGAGAAGTTGGACAGGGGCCTGTAAATTGAACAGCGACATCAATCGATTTTCAGAGCTCATTTCTTATGGGATGAGAGACAGCGTCACAACACGCGTCGCTGTGGCTGCAAACTCTTGGCATCTAAGAATGTATCATATGTAAGGAGACATGGAATTAGGATGAATTAGGATTGGGGTCACAGGAAGATACGAAAAGAATCTGAAAGCAACGTGTACAGGGACCTTTGCCTTCTCAGGCATTGGATTTTTGCCATTAGCATGTCGCAGCCTGTGCCAGGTTTTTGAACGACTGAAGGATGCTTGGCCAGAGGCTGGGCGCTAGCTTCAGCCACCTCGTGGTTGAATGGAAACCAAAGGTGCCATAATTAATGCTTGTTAGTACATATCATATATAGATTGTTTGTTATTTGCTATTGTCATTGTTAATTTGGTATTCAGGTCTAGTTTTACAACTGCATCTAGATACGGGTTCATTGTCTGTATGTATGCCTGTCAAATCCAAGGCTTGTGCGACTCAGCATTTGCTTGGAAGATGATGTTCTTCTCCTTTGCACTGGAGAGTGCAGAGTAGCTAAGTTAGAGGATTCCTCCAAAACTGCCCTGTGACTGTATGAATTGACCAGGCAAGGTCGGACGCACTGCAGCGCAATCCGAGCGAGCAAGCAGCAGACAGAAATTAAGAGAACCATCAGCTCATGGAGACCATGGAGACCATGGAGACCAGAACTTCACTGCTCGAGCCAAGTACTGTCTCTGGGCGGAAGCACTTGGCTCCAGGCCAATCAGACAGCCTTGCGACGAGCCAAGGTCTTACACGACGAGCCTAGGTATGAAGATACCAAGGTCGGAGACAGCTAAGTGCTGGCCAATGATGCAAAGGTCTTGCACGCAGAGCTTGCTACAGAAACTGTGGTGAGTGTGGTCTTGAAGCCAAACATGGTGATAAAACGCGGACAAATCAAAGCAAACAAGGTGATATAGTCCAAGAGCAGTTGACCCTTGAAGAAGTCGGTTGACACGCTTCTTCGAGCGTCACCTGCTCTTGCACTACATGCAAAATGCATTGCCCAATGGCTACTGTTAGTGCATTTCGACATACTCAACATGCTTCAAGCGACGTATGAGATTCTGGATTGGCAACTCACGTTGCAGCTCTTTGGCGACTATGGCTTTTGAGACTGCAATCTCCTCATTCTCCAACGGGCAGCACGCCTCTGGACTGCGGTCTTCTTGAACAGCGACTGGCACTTCTGCCTTGGCGCTGCTGTTTCCGTTCTTTGGAGCTTGTCCATCCCAAATTCAATGACCCACGGCCTTTGGGGATGGGGCCCACGTGAGAGTTGCAGGTCTTTCGCGAACTTGACTATCGGTCTTTGGGACACCTTGTGAGGATTGCAGGATTGCAGGTCTTTGAGTCTTTTCATCATCCCAAAGTCAGAGACTTGTGTTGGGCATCACGCATCCTCGGGATCAGAGTGCATGGGAGTTGGCTGAGCTGGTGGGCCTGGTGGATTTCCTTGACTTGGACCAAAGTGAACCAACCGCGGTCCCGATATGTCCCGATGATCTTGGAGTCTTCTTTCAAAGAGCCTTTTTTACAGTAGAAGGGCAACTAAACCGGTGATTTCCATAAAGCCAGCCACTGAAGATCACTGAAGGTACTCTCATAAAAAAGACCAGTGTTTTCCACACCATGTTGAAAGGAAGACACGATTTTCCCAACACCAAACTTCTTGGTGCTCCACGTCTATGGAACGTGAAGAAAACAAACACTCGGGAGTCACGGAGGATTTCGCACTTTGAGGATTTCGTTGGCCTCCCGAGTTGGCAATGTGTAGGCTTGGATTGGCACCACCAGTGATGGCAGCCCTGTCTCCTTCTTCGATGTGGGCAAGGCCAATATCGGCGGAATGGCTTTGGAACGAAACACACGGGGACATCCTAGGACTTCCTTTTTGTCAGGGAAACCATTTGACAGTGGACCACCTGCCACACTGGCTCAACGGCGAAACACCATGGAACCAGGGACCACAAGGACCATGTGTAGTAGGAACTAGTGGCGTCCTTGCTCCTAGTAGTAAGGCCAGGAGCCCCTTCTTGTTACTAGTAGTGATGCCAGGGGCCCCTATATAGTAGCTTTTTGTTTCTGCATCAGAGCCCGGTGGAGTGATTTGAGACCAGCGCGGCCCATGCGCGGCCCAGGCAGTGCGCTTTCTGCAATTGGGTGTTGCGGAGGCCCGTCGAAGGGGGTCGAGGGAAGGCGGCGGCGAGCTGGGGGGGACCTGACAAAAGATTGTGTGCTAGGGGGGTCCCAACAATACCTGGGAATGACACACAGGCAATCACAGGGATATTTTGCTGGATTTGGGCGCGGAACTGACTGTTGATTGAGCCCTCGCCAACTTGGGAAGGAACGAACAAAAGTCGATGGTGATCAGTCCCTGCTCGGCTCCCCAGTTGGCTCCGCTTCCCACCAACAATACAAACAGGACGAGCTGCGCCTCTTCTGGATGTTTTGGATGGAGCGAAGCAACGAGCAGCAGCGAAACGGCCTTGCGCGCGCATCAGGCAGGGCTTGTGCAACAACGAGTGTACGTCAAGACTTGGTGAACCGACCTGCAGTGACATATGTAGGCCGCTCTGCTCATCTTCGGGATGAAATATCAGGATATATATATATATCAGGAGTAAACTCCGGTTGAACATGCGTGGAAAGTTATGTTGGGCAGAAAGCATCCAAAGGCAGCATCGATCCCCACGACATGCCTGGCACGGTGGTGATCTACGACTTGAAAGAGCTGCTGCTCTCGTCGCTCACGAGCCTAGGCTGGTACAGTGCCTCACCGTTTGATGAAATTGAGCACCCACGGACAGTTCAAGATGGCAAAAGAATCCTTTTGCATTGCCTTCTTTTGCAAAGCGTCCACCAAAGCGCTAGAGATGATCAGAGAAGTCATTTTATGCATAGCGCATATAGTGAAATTGAATTGACACGGAAATTGTTGCACCAGTAGTTTTAGCAGAATCCACAAGCAAGATCAAGCAAGAAGGGATAATTTTATTCAGTTTGGATCCTGGTGCTTACCATGGCGTTGTCAATCATTTCTGTTTGTGTATAGCATCTTACAGTACGATTTGAAAACAACACATCTCTACTGAAATAGTCCCCAGTAATGTGGATCAGTCTGCTTTTGGGATGTGTTGCCAAGTAGACGCCTCTCATCGCTTAAGGTCATGCTTGTCGGGCCTCCACACGTTGGTCAAGGCAACGATCGGGTCTTTGCGTGATCGAACGCTGAAGGTGCTCGCATTCTGGACGCTTTGGCGTTCATCGAACTGGGTCAAGAGGACGATTGGCATCGAGGGAGTTGAAAGTTGGCCCAGTCACAAATTGAGCACCCTCAAGGCGTGTTTTTCTGTTGGCCCCAGCGGTTGCTACACCCACCACCGCATGTAACCGGATGGAACCGCAACATATTGCAATCAGTAACCAAACAGAAGCATATTCATGTGCAAGGCAAACAACAGGAACCGCCACGTTTTTTTTTTTTTTTTCCCAAGCAACGAACCTTTTTGGCAATGCCTATTATTTCATTTGTTTTCCCTGGACCTCCGACTTCAGGTCTTGGGTCTAGCGGAGAAGCACTATCCCAGCAACCTCCGCAAGGCACCGGAAAGCGCTGCAAAGTGCCGCAAAGCGCAAGGGCATTCATAGCGGTCCCTGGGTTTTGAAGATGCTTTTGGGTAGATTTGACAGCCAAGCATTTAGTGAAAAAGGCTGGACTAGCTGCATAGGGAAGGTCAGACCTAGACATGAGCAGAACTCATCTCGATAGACCGAAAGGTGTGAAAACATGTGAACGTATGAAACCTCCTGAAAGAATGCTAGGACCTGGTAGGACCTGGTCTAGGACCTCGTAGGAACGTCCCCAATTAAGACCTGTTCTCATTGTTCCTCTCCTTGCTCTACCTCTAGGAATCCTAGGACCTCTGTGCCTCGCTTCGGCCAAACGTAGCGTGTGAGGCCATTGTCCTGAATGCACCGACCATTTTCAGCCGCATGGTGTGGCCGTTGGTTCACAAGGCCGAGCCATGGCGAAAGGGGGGAGTCACCGAGTCCCGGTCTTTCCATGTCTTTCCCGATTTGACATGGTCCGAAGAAGGCCCGTTGAAAATTGGATCCATCTGCATTGAAAGAGAAGCGCGGATTTGATGTGAGGGTTTCCAGGTTCTGAGAGGTTCCGCGGTCCTGGATGAGGAGCAACATGTTGTTTGAGTCTAGGTCTTCTGGGGTCTCTCTATGTCCATTTGAAGACACCCGCGCTGGCCGTGCTTGGGAAGCTCCTTGAACCGCAGCCAGCACGGCTGCAGGTCTTAGACTCCGAGACTCGCAACAACGTCTCGGTCTGTGACTCCCTCGAGGCCTGCGAGACGCGACCAACGTCAGGGGGAGACGCCTTGACGTGACTGGACCGGTCGGCGTTTCTCGTGGAGGGACCTCTTTTTTGGGGGGAGCAAACGAGAAGTAACGCGAATACATTATGGCGTTCGCCCCATGGCAGGGCCTCCAACTGGCGGGCTTTAGCCGCTTGGAGGGAGTTTGGTAAGGAGGCAGGTGGGGCACGCAGTGATCAACAAACATGGAAGGGTCTGAGTCCGGCAGGGTTCGTTTCTGGCACACATTGTAGGCCAATCTTGTGATTGGCAGCACGGTCCATTGGTCCGATGATATTCCTTCAGCAGGAGAAGCCAGTTGATCCCGAACCTGATTTCCACTTGTCACAAAGCTTAGCGTCCCCAAAAGGATGGGATGAATCTGTTTTCAATTTCAAGACTGCCTGTTTTGGAGGGAATTCACTATGATTCACTCAGAACCTACTGTACCCATTTTGAGGTCACCAGAGGTCACCCCAGCCCGGTTCTCTGGTTGCCAAGGTGCTTCTGAACTGGTCCAGATGATGAATGAGGGTTCTGATGCACCCTGAAGGGCCTGAAGGGCCTTAAGGGCGTGGAGGTGGTCAGCTGGCGGTCCGATGAATGGATTTGTTTGGTGTGTCCATTGCCAATGTAGTCCATCTACAAACGCCATCAACAGATACTCCGTTCACTTGTGGGCACATTCCATCCAATCCCTTTGGAATTCCTGGAGTCAACTCTTTGCTTGAACATATATACTCATATATTGGACAATATTTTTTTGTTTTCTTTTCAGGGCACACAAACTGCACATCATGTCAAGACTTTTTGGAGGCTGCAGTTTCCTTGGGCCACGTATTCTTACCTCACACAATTACGCACAACTATGCCCCATCCCCCTTGGGAATCACTCGTCGCTAGTCCCTCACTGAGCAGTTGCCCATCTCAAGTACTTCTAGTATTCTAGTCTTGTGAGCGTCACCGAAACTACCGAGCCCCAGTTTTCAACCCTCATCAGATGCTCCTCGATCGACAGCAACGAAGAATGCAACGAGATCATAATGCATTTCTCCCGGGCGGGCCAAGCGTGCCCTGCCCTACCCGCGGATCAAATAGATCTCCCGGGTACCAGATGGAATGCCTGAATGAAGACTTCGGCATAGCTACCATCAGAAGGCTGCAACACCAATGTGTGCTGGGTGAACGGTGCTTGTGCGACAGTCAATTTCTCAACGAAGCAGGGTTGCACAAAGTAGGCCCTGGGCCCTGCTTTTGTAGCATTGGTTGCGATAGCCTCCTGCGCGGGAATTTGTGCTCCCAACATGTTTCTGAAACATTCCCAGGGATCCCAACACTCAAGCTGCTGGATGTGATGATGTGTCCAGACATCCACGTCCGCGAGATCTTTGCAACCCCCTCCAAAAACACACTGCTACATTGTAGGCTTTTCAGAGGGAGCCTGAGCCTTGGGTCCCAATGACTCTCCGCTGTTCTCAAAGAACAGGTTTGCACTCAACGGCAGAGATACGGATGCACTTCCTCATACTCTACCAGCAACGCATCCGCACTTCTCGGGTTGTTGGGTTTTGTATGTACAGCTGAAGCAGAATGCAGAAGACATGTTCTGCTAATGCCACTCTTCGCATAGGGCCATACAACAACTGGCTGCCGTTGAAAGAAAAGCAAGCCTCATCATGCCTGCTGTGGTACCAAATGACTCGACGACAAGAGGCAGAAGTCGGCAGAAGCCGTTGGCAACTTTCCCAAAGAGTGGGGCACTGGCCAACTGACCTCTTCCATAGCCCTTCTTTGATCCTGGGGCTCTTGAATATCATCTCTCTGAGTTTTGTTGCAACGAAGACTTCGGATTCCTCTCTGTGAGTATCGAGCCACTCGTACCAGTATTCAGCGGCTTTTCCAACTGGGGCAGTTCTGTTGGTCTCAGTTGCCGGTTCCTTTGCGCCTTTGAGGTCATTGGGAGGAGATGTGATCCAATCTTGTCCGGTGGCTCAATGGCAGCAACCGCGACGCGACCAGGTGCGTCTTCTGCTCTGAACAACACTGGTCGTTTCTTGCCCTTCAGAGTTGTAACATGCCCGAAGGGCTTGTTCACTTGTTGCCAACTTGCTTGCACGCGGGGCTGGCCGGAATCTCAATGCAAGGTCGATTCCTGTCTATGACTTCTGAAGGTTGAAGCAAAGCTTCAGGGGATTTGTATGTAGACCTGCGTGTCTAGCGCAAGCCACGTCCCATTGTGACTTCCTGGCGCGAGAGGTAGGAACATGTTGTAGTATCATTACCATGCATCGATATTCGCGGGCAATAAAGACCTATCACACATACACTTTAGATCAGGATAGGGCTGTAAATATCTGTAAATTAGAATTAGCTAGAATCAATGAAACTCCAAGTAACAATAAGCTACTAGGAACAAGTGCATCGCTTCTAGTAACAAGTGCCTTACTAGTAGTAACGAGAAGCTATTAGTAACAATAAGCTACAGTAGAATCAATGAAACTCCTCACTGAATCCATGCGACTCTTTGATCTTCAGCGAGCGTGACATCCGATGGTTCTCTGTCGCACGACTCAGGTGACCGAGAACCGAATCCCTGTCGTGCTGCTGTGGCCGGGATCTTGGGCTTTTCCAAACGGCCCCGACCCAACGTAATTTAGATAATCCATATTAAAAGCCTGGGGGTCAACCCCAGGAAAAAGAACATGCCCGAAAATCACCTGCGTCCAGAAGAATAATCCGACGCGAAAAACTAGCTATATACAAAGAAACACTCGACCTTGGAACAAGGATTTAATGATCAGGTTGGAACAACATACCAGCAAAATTGATGACCACATGGTATCTTAGGCCAGGAATTTAGTAATGCATGTTTTCCCAGTCTGTGATTGCTTGCACAGGGTCAAAGTAGGATTTTAATACTTTAGTATGGCCGGTCTGTGCATTGCCAGCCTCCAATTCTGGTATTGTTTATTCTTTATCCAACCATGGAGGCGAAGATATTTTTCCTGAGCTCAACTGAGCGTTCCTGTGGAGGCGTAGTGAAGGGATCAATTTTGGGACGTTGACCGAGGGCCCGATGACCCGTTTCGATTGTCCGACCTCGGTGTATGGCCGTTGCTTTCTTAAGAACATGCATGTTCTCATATAATCATATCATATCATATCATATAATTGTGCCAATACTCGGAACCAGGAAATGACCAGCCGGGACCTGAACACACAAGACATGACAACAAGACATGACACAGTGATAACGTGGTTTGTACATGTTTGACATGCACAAGTACACACGTATCACGGACGTTAAGTATCATATTTATAGATTTTTGATTTGATGTCCATACTAGGATTTAAATTAGCCCGCTAGTTCGGTATCAGATGTGATCATGTAGGGTTGGGACAGGATTATATTAAAACGTCGGCCCGAGATTTTAACACGACAGAATCTCAGTCAACAAAATTGAGCGTCGACCTTGGAACATTTAAAAAAAAAGGACGTGAGCCCGGAAGGATTTAAATACAGTTTTCCGGAAGGATTTAAATACAGTTTTCCAATTGAGATCCTTCACCCAACGATTCTGGCGTTATTCAACGGGTATAACATAAATACCAAGGATGCACTCCTGTAAAGAGCCGAAACTATTCTATATATATATATATATTAATATCCACTGCCTCGTATAAGATCGTATCAGAGGCCTTCCAAACCGGTTTGTTCACCTGAAAGAAAGAGAAAGAACGAGAAGGACGGAACGTGACGGAACAAACACAGTGACATCGCCACAGCTGCACCCGAGGCACCCGAGGCACCCGAGGCACCCGAGGCGTAGGCAGCTCATGTTCCCGATCCTCCCGTGCTTCCAAGGACACCGGTAGCGGTGATGTGCTGGGGCCCAAGGTGCGGAGGGTCTCCGGAGTCGGCGCTGAGTCTTGGAGAGATTGAATTTCAGTCTAAAATAACAGGAGATCTTAATCTTGATGGAATTCATTCATTTCTCGGACATCCTTTATGTTGATGATAGTTTAGAGCTACTAGCGATGGCCTCCACCTAGCAGCGATGGCCTCCAACAGGGGTCTCAAAAGGTCGCCTCAAAAAGAGGGCAGAGGAGACGCGACACCTGGCCAGGACATTGTGGATTCCTTGCTGCTGCGGCTTCAGATCACAGAGGCGGACAGCTGACGCTGACCGACCGGTCGGTCCGTGGATGTTCATGGCCCTATCGAAGCGACGAAGTGGACGGATGGGCCTATTGCAACATCGGATTCTCTGAAACCCAGGCATTGCGGGATGCCTCCTTATGAATCTTATGATGTCGCATCTGGTTGTTGGCGGATTCTGAACACACCGTTTGACACAGCAAGTGTGATCGGATATAGAGTATCGGATAGAGATTTGTTTTTCTCAACCGTTCCTTGACGATGTGTGAGAGGTGCTTCCCACTCGGACCGATCTCGAATCATGTGACTGGAGGCATGCAACCTCACGACCTTGCCCAAGATCGAATTCCGCATGAAGGGCGTCGACGACAGGAGCGGGGAGAAGACGGTCTTCAGACCTCATCTAGTGGTGGTGACCACCTTGTTGCTCAGAGGTGTCTGTGCTTCAGATGGGCCCATGGATGTTCTTTCATAAGCAAGCACACATTCCGGCCTTTCATGTCTTCTTTGTTACTCTTTGTTTTGCCAGGAGCCTCACCTTGACTTTGGAGCCAGCAGACTATGCGGAAGACTGCCGACCTGCGCTCTTCTCATCAACGCTGCCGCCAGAGAGGCCTCCAATGTGGGTCTTGGGGCAACCCCTCTTGCGCAGCTACATCTCGGTCTATGACCTGCAGCAGAGGAGGGTCGGCTTCCAGCGATCTTCTGCACGTCTTCAGCGCCCACCGCCAACACCCAAGCTCCGCGGGGGGCGGCGATGGGCTCGGCTGCATTTGTCGCCGGCGGAAGCCGATGCCGAGTGAATTCAGTGATACAGTGAATTGAAGGATACTGATGCTTGCTGTTGCGAGGCTGTTAGGCCAGTTCTTCTTCGTCTTTAATCCTTTTAGATCTAGTTCGGTCCATCTTCATTCCTTGCTGCGTTGTTGATTTTTTGTAATGGAGAATATGCAAAGTAGAATCTTGACAGATGTGTAGGTTTGTGCCACTGTGTGCGAGCCCTAGGCGGTGTAGTGACGTAGTGTTTGGAGTCAAAGGCGATCCAAGACGGCCTGAAGAGTCACAGGAAGCATCAAGTAGACTAGGTAGACTGAAGCTTGCAAAGAGGCACCCCAAGGGGAGCACAACAGAAGTGTTGGGGAGGAGAAAAAAGGCAGAGGTGCGCTTGATGTGCGATTCACAGACGTTTTGCAGCTTGCACCACATGAACAGGCCACACACACACACACACGCACACCACATTCACGTTTCGAACTGGGCATTTTTGTGGATTTGCTTTGTTTCGCTCCGATCACCTGGTGAAGGTGTTTCTATCGTGCGGCCGCGGCCCGGTCCCTTGCGTGCTACCCACATCGACAGCACTCCGCTGACCGCGGCCGCGGGGCCAAAGCA